TGTGAGGTTTTCTTTTGTGAGGATAAATGAAGAAATCAAAATCGAAAAATTGTCCTTAGTGTTTTGATACAAGTACATTATTGTAAAACAACATCTTCAAAATCTTTTCACATGTTTCCCTTTTCTTTTTTACACGGTTTTACTTTCGATGATAATCTTTCCCATTTGACCTTTGGTTTGCTCCTTATTAACATGTCCATTTACAACAAGTTGACGGTATAGCCGTGCGTATCTCTTAATTATCGATAATTTTTCACTTTTTAAACACCGATTACCTATTTGTTGGATGTCAAGTCTAACGCCACTGTAATACGTTATCAATCAATAAATGAATTATAAACAGAAGCACGTGGTCGAGAGAAAGGGTGTGTGTGTCTGTTGGTCAAAAGGTCAGTAGTCACCAATCGGTGTACAGGTAGCTAGGGTGTGTAGTTCTCGTGCAGAGTTAATATGCACGTGCTGAAGGTGTTAACGTAGGGTACAGATGTTCAGTGTATAGGCATTCGAGTCTTTGCGGTCCGTCCACGTTAGCACTTGATTTAATTGTTTTATTTTTATATACATTAATTAAATGAGAAAATTAAATTGATTGTTTCAGGTTTTCCCGGTTCTTGTGAAGAAAATATTGAAATTGAACATTTGCGTATGACTTTTTCTTACGTTACATGTTACCGAACACACACCAGGGCGTAGACGCGATGTGTCATAATTTTCATGTACATGAGATTTAATTAGTTATTAAAGTGTTGGACCGTAGAAGGCCACTCCCACATATATAAACAGTTGTTGAGTTTTATATGATAAATGTTTTATGTTCGGTTGAACATAGTGAATTAGAACATACCACATGATATATAGGGGACTGCTCGGGCTAGACTCGACAAGAAACATAACTCCGTGTTGCTTATACGCGTTATCAACTCCGTGTTATTAAACATCTTTTACTGTATAAACTTCCTTGCATTTTGTCAATTTTTACGTTTTATCTACGGAAAAATATAATATTAAACACATTTGTCTGGAAAAAAATGTAAGTATGAGTATTGTTAATTACAGACCGTCATAGATACTTGTATCACCGTATAAGTTACGTATAAGTTAGTGTACTTTTATCGTCCAGCAACCCCCTTCGTCAACGATTTAACAGTTTAAACTTTATTCCAGAATTCTAATTAATTCTAACATATTACGTATAATGGGTTGGTAGTTTTTTTTATCTGTTGAGTTGAGCTTGGCCAACATCCAGGTGTGTAGCTTCATACGAAAGGAAATGTCATTACCC